CCCTGACTAAGGCGAGGGCGTTGCACAAGGAGCCAGAGCCTGTGAAGCCCCAGGATTTCGTAACGAGCGTGTATCACTTTGAGCGGGACTACAAAGGCTCGCTCGCAAGATGGTTCTTCGCTCAGCTATGGGAGCCGTGTGGCCACTGCTGACTTTGATGTATGCCGAGCAGCGTTCTGTGGCCGCCACAGCTAGGATCACTGGCATTGCGAGGCTCTCTTTGCTTGGCTGAGGTGCGTGTCTTCGACGATCGGGCACTTTACCGAAACGCGAATGAGCGGGGGCTTGGCAAGGCAGAGCAACGGCGGAGCCTCACCCGAGATGTTCACGCGGGAGCTAATAGACGATTGTTTCAGGCCAGGGCAGCCATTCCCAAATTCTTGCACACTCTCGTATCATGGGTCACAGGGCGTTCTGTCGTGCAGGCCAAAGCAGAAGAAGATGAGGGAACAGTTGCGACAACTGGCGATGCTCGGCCGATGGTTTCATATGATGACCCAATCTGCAAGACATGCACATCTTAGGCGCAACAGCGACGTGCTTTTCCTGGCCCTCGATGCGGACATGGAGGGCGAGTTCATCGCTCGCCAGGTCGCTCGCGTGTCTCAGCCTCTGATGAGGTCTTCGGCGATGAGGTCTTCGGCCGTGTGGAGGTTCGTTGGCTAAAGATGAGGTGCAGCTCATTTCCAGTTCGAGTTCTCATCCTTTCCACGTCTCACATGCAGGTGTTGGTTCACTGCCCTTGGACAGCGGCATCTCTTGCCCCTTGGGCTTGCTTAAGACGCAGCGGCTGCTTCGACAGCTTTGATGTTCTTGCAGCAAAGGAAGGCGCTCAGCAAGCTGAATCCGCTCGATGAGGCTGTGGCGGATGCTTGTGAAGTTCGTCGACAAGTGGACTACAGGGGTGGACAGGCCCGATCACTAAAGTCTTGTTGCCCCGGATTCAGAAGGGTGGCAGAGGCTTTGTGCAAGCATGCCGCAGCATGCCAACTTAGTGGAGCGCACGCCTTGTTGTGAGGCTTGCACGCTGACCCTTTCGGCCTTCGTGGACAGACACCGGGAGCACTTGGCAGGAGCTCTGCCAAAGTTCAGTGCCTCGCGTCAAGAGCGTCGCGCGGCGAAAGAGGGCGAAGAGGACTTTGAGCCATCGCTCAGCTACGGCCCTGTGCAGACCCCGACCATCTTCCTTGCTCTGCATCATTTCGTGGTTGAGTCCTCGAAGAAGACATCTCAGGGGACCTGGCGCGTGAAGGTCTCTCTGTACTCTGAGTCGACCGGGGAGTTCGAGTGCTACTCAGAGCCGCTGAGATGCGAGGAGGCTGCAAGGAAACAGAAGGAAGTGATTGATATGGTCCTCAAGCAGAGGCCGTGTTGGGGGCTCGCGCATCTCATCCCATCATGTTTTCCATGCAAAGTGCTTTTCTGAGCTGACCCCTTAGGCGCCCAGAGCAGTCGGACTCGCGCGAGGGGCTCGAGGATTGCGAGGCATCGTCGGAAGAGAGCTCGCAGCTCTCGC